CTTGGAATCCAATAATATCCGATAATGTCCAATATTGTCCTGTAATTTATAGTACACACTGCATAAAATCCTGCCTTCACTGTCATATACCAGCATTGACTCAATCTAATCTGCACTATTTACTTCAAAATGAATGGAATCTGTACGTGCTCTATTTCAGAAAGATGTAGTACTGCAAGACTTGACGATGTGATTGGCGGACTTATCATATACTACACACGTTTGATTTTTGCATATCTTGAGCAGTTGACCTCAGTCATCTGGCATAGATTTAAAATGAAACAAAAGTGCGCAATGCTGCACTGGAAATTGAGTTTGCTTTGGAGTTCTTGCAGCATTGTCTTTAGGGCAGCATATATTTTACCAGCGCATACTTAGGGCAAAACAACCACTGTAGACAAAGGCAAAACCAACCATATAATTCAAGGACTCAGTTTGCTCTCGACTGGATCGAGCATCGCAATTTCGAAAACATATGAAATCACACTGCAAATTCTAATAACGTTAGTCCCCATATAAACATAAATCGTTGCTGCACTTGGTCTTCTTTCAATTTCGGTGTGGTCGAAGATATGTCAGGGGGTCTACTACTGCTGGTAGGCTTTTAACAATTTGGCCAGAGTTTACGTCAACTTGGAAAAGTGACAATGGCTTTTTCCTTGTATTAATTGGCGATAACAAGCATCCATAATTTGGGGTGAAATGTCAGCTTCCATATGGGATCAGAAAGTGATACCTTTGATGAGCCTTGAAACGGCTCATGCCCTATGAAAGCCCTACGAAAATGTCACTATCCACGTGAAAGTCTCCATTGCGCAGGAACACATATGGTGCAATAATTCACGATAAATTCAGTCGACTGCTGCAAAATTTTCTGTCTCGCTTTTGGATGGCGTTGCTTTTGTTCCATAACATTGATTTTTCCAGTTGTGACTGTCCAGATGACCGCTGAATGCCACCTAAGAGGCGTGATACATCGAGATATCAAGGTGAGATAGGGGAAAAATCTAATGTTGGTCTAGGGGGCCGGCGCAGCAATGCGATTTATTTTTTAGCATCTCGCTAGAGCCGCCACGTCGGCAATTTCTTGAGATGTGATTTTGAGGATAGGCATGCGTCAATTTTACCAAGTGTACTTGTGGCTCACTACGGGTAGTCTTCTATGCTTTCAGGCGCGAGTGTTACTGCATATAACACATGAACTTGAAATGAGGTTATGCAGGATACTATCGAACTCATCTGATTTCAACTTGTTCCATTCAAACATTCCAGGACGTCTCTTCAGATTTGACACAACGCACTCTAGGACGCTAAGTATGTAATCTCCTATTCAATTAATGAATGCGGAATTGTATTGTACAACTATCTGTGGAATAGCTTGAGGGATTGACTGCCCGTCAGACTTTGCAGGCTGAGAATTTTCTGTTTTCTGATCGCGGCCCTGGAGCACAAATAAAAGGGGTAGATTTTGGATTCTCCCAGATGTTTGATGAAGGTGAGATTTGCATTAGCTGAACTCACTTTGAACACCACAAAGAGATATTGCAGTAACGAGTGTTTTCATTTTGCAGCGACATAGATGAGCGAAGCCAATCCAAAATGAGGGTTTTGATTGCTATGCTGTGCTGACACGTTCAACGTAACACATAACTTATGTGTTATAATGAAGTGGCAAAAATTACCTGCAACAGCGGGGTTTGTAAAATGCACTCTCAAATTATCGTATAATGCAGCAAATTTCATAAAACGCCCTATCACATACTGGTCCATTATATGAGCAATCAACATTGCCCTATGCATAACGGATTGATCGATCTGCTTTAGCGAAAACTCAGCGTCACCCTCATTCTGACTCTCGCATGCACAGCTTGCCCATTTCTTACATGAAATCTCACCTTATGCATGTAGCTATCTCCCTCTTGAAGTGCACAAACATTTCTAATTGGCTGCGGCAGACAATTAGAAAGCCCATCCGATCGGCAGTAAATTGAATGCGCTGTCTATGGACAAACTATGAGAAACTCGACCTGTTTCCCGTCATTGTTATCATGATCGAACGTTCCAAACTGCTGGCGTATAGATGTTGGCTATGAAAATTGACAAGGAACTTTTCAACTTCGGGGCTCCGCAACATCAATCTTTACCAGCGGCAAATCTCCACGAGATTGTAAGCATCTCTTTCCCATTATCCACGCATGCTTCGCAAGATTTGATGGGGAATTTCCCACCAAACGTTGTGGAGCATGCGTGGGTGGCTCTCTTTAAAGGGATCCGTTTCTATCCCGGTAGACGGCGGCGTGTTGCTTGAGTCCCTTCCTATCACATCCTTGTGAAAGCAGTGCTACAGCCAATGGCTGTAACATGGCATGTTGATGCGGCCCATCCTCGCGCAGCATATCCATTCCATGTTGGCGTCTTTGGTCGACACTCCGCGCAGACGTTCTGCTCATGGAAAGTCTAGCATCTCCGAAATGCACGAGCATTGCCGAATATACTGCCTTCGCGTTGCAGCATTCGCTGTCCCACAGCGCCTCTTGCGGTGATTGCGATCTTTGCATTGAAAGAACTTGCCAGCTTGGTCATTACAACGCCTAACAATTATCAAGTCAAACCGTGTTGTTAAATGCATTGGCAATATTTGCGCTTTGCTTCGAGCTCGAAGAACAACTTCAGACACAGTAGAAAGCAGCCTGATTGCGATGCCAACTGCGGTGCCATTTGACACAAATCGATGCCATCACAGCCCCTTGTATGCCGCCGCAATCACTGTGACGGCACCATTTTGTGTCAAAACGGCATCGCAGACACGATCTTTCTGCCTGTAAGAGGGGATGCATGAAGTTGAAAGGGGTGCTTTGCAATACATATTTCATGCACATATGAGTTTATTTGCAATTGAAGCTTTCTTGGTGTGGGAATAGATCTCTCGTGGAGCTGATTGACAAAATATTAACAACAGCCAAGGCACCCGGAAAGTGCAAACACGATTTAAGTTGTGGTACTTGCGTGTATGCATTTATGTCAAATACTTTATAAGATTTGACTTTAAATGTACTTTGAAGGCAAAATATTAAAGGATCGTGCACTCAGCATTGCCTTGGGCGCTTCTGTAATTCCAAATTGCACCAATCTGGCAATTTGCCGAGTTCATAGTGAGCTTGGCAGCTGACCAGCTTGGGGCACATCCTGGCACTTTGTCTACTATGGAAACCTCCAACATTTCATGGTTTCATTCCAGAATGACTCGTCAAAATCTCCCATCAAAATATCGGCCAAGTGACTGCGACTGGCGTCGTTGACGCACGGAATGTGGCATTAGTATTGACAGAATATACTCGTGAGGTAACACCTCGTTGAAAGGGAATCCTTCGCTGTCTCAGCGTAAGTTTCTATCACCATCATCAGCAAAATCCATGGATTGCACTTGTCACAAAATTAAAAAACACAGCTCGTGCACCTGGGAGGCGATTATGGGAGTGAAAACCAAGCAGATAGTGTCTTTCATTGTCTATCATGTAGCTCACAGCAATTAACAAAGTTTCCTTCCATGTATTGAGCAGATTCCCGAGCGCTGCCTAATTCTGCAGGCACAAACATCACAATTACTCAAGTTTTGGAACGGAAGCCTAGCTTCAGAGATTCACATACGGACACCGCTTCAATAGAATAAAAAAATGCGTTCCGCAGGTCAAGAATTCAGTGAGAGGATTGGATCTGCAAATTACGTGGCTCCGGAGGTGCTGTGGGGGAAATACGGTCCCCCTGCAGATCTCTGGAGCTGCGGAGTCATAATGTACATGCTGCTCAACGGCCATCCACCTTTTGAAGGGAAGGACGAAAAGGAGACTCTGTCCATGGTCATGGTATCCAAGTTAGACTTTTGTGCGGGCAACCTGCACAAAATATCGCCTGCGGCGAAAGATCTACTGAGGAAGTTACTAATTCGAGACCCACAGGTGATTATTGCCTCCCTTCATCATCTGCAATCTGGGCAGAAATTTTGCAACGTTGTATGCACACTGTCGCTGAGGCAACCTCGAATATCTGGAGAAATGGCGGACGCTGATTGAGCATCGTGCTGCATTGCTGTTGATGCAATGATCAACAACGCTTCAGAAAATGCACAAATTCTTCGATATTGGAAGTATTGATGCTTGTGTCATCATTACGTCAGTGCTGATACACGGGACTTGCTGTAGCGCTTTTCGACGATGGGTCATCGGCAGTGTGCAAACAACATTGCATCAGCATCTACCTTTCTTCAGATGAACAACGGTGCAGCAAGGGCTAGAAAATCTGCGTCGACGCAGCGTTGCTACACATATCCACGCTTGTCAATGTGACATGCATGGACATTTGCTGAAGCCCTGCTAACACTAAATGAACAAAAATGTAGGCAAGTTATTTCATCAACCCATATCCTTTTGCAGGTGATGCACAAAAATCACATACAGAAAGATTGTGTCGAAGAAAGTGTTCGCCATTTTATGACATCCCGGCGTGTCTCTTGCAACCGCAAAGTAGAGATCAAAATCATGAATCACGAACTGCTTTCAAATGCGCAAAGTTCGCAAGTTGGATTTGCTGAAGAACAGTTATTTGAAATGATTGATCTCATGGAACTTCCTTGAAATGCCGCGCGGCGAAAACGCCGAGGGGCAGCCCAAGCTCCAGAGGAACCCTTTTAATTGTGTTTTTTTCACCAGAAAATCAGTATGATTCCACTGTCAGGTGCATAGCTATCTCGGGTTTCACCTATATTACATGATTTCACTACCGCATAATTTATGAGCGAAGTGCGTTGGACAGAATTAGAATTTATGCCAGTGATTTAGATTGTGGGAAAAGATGTCGCAATCTCTAAGCATTTGAAAGCTGTGTTTGTTGAAGCGATGACTGTATTTCAGGCTCGCCTGACGGCGAGTCAGGCTCTGTCGCATCCGTGGCTTCAAAAAGGGGCAGCTCCCGAAGTTCCCATAGACTTCTCAGTAGTAGCGCAAATGAAGAGGTTCTCCGCCAAGACGAGGGCCGAGCAGGTTCTCGTGGGGAGAGTGGCAAGAAGGTTCAGCATGGAAGACATTGCAGACATCAAAGACCAATTCATGCACGTAGATATAGATAGAGACGGCAGCGTTACTCTCCAAGAATTGGAGCAGGTGGGGTGGCCGCACACATTTTCACCAGTACAGCGCGAAAGGAAGGGAAGCGACAAATCGATGTTCCTTGGCACACTATGTAAATGATCGTAATGAACATTGCCATCTGTTGCGCCGATGTGTGAAATGGCAAGGCAATACAAGGGACGAGCCGTTAGTGCACCGTCCAAATCTTATCCGGACAGCGTTACATGAGGCGAATCTTTTTCAAGGCGAGAAAAATTCAACCGGATCCCATCCATTTCAATGTAGTATATTCAATGTTGCATGTCTATCTTCACACGAGGTAAAAATACCGATTCGTGCTTCTAAGACTACAAAGGGGTCCACAATGCCGCATTCTGCGTACAGAAACCGCTTGTGTGGAAGGCTTCCCCAATTCAGCAAAATTTCCACCGCCACACAGTCTGACGGGGAATTTTCCCGGATGGTCATGCGCTGGGCGCAGAGCAGGCATCTGATAATTTCCAATCCCGAAATTGCTGACTACTGATGGATCGCGATGTACCGTATCACATCCAGATGATCGAGAATGCTTTCGTTGATTTAGATGCAGCGATGGCGGCCACCACGCACAGCGCTTTCTTCTTGCTGCGACGAAAACCGACGCTGGGAAACTACCATGTAAGAGCATATGGTCAGCGCTGGCATTGCGTCCAGTTTCACCAATACTGATACATTTCTGCAGAGTTGGAACAGCGTTAATAGGAACCATTAATTCAAATTGCTCGTTCCCCTTATTTCTATTATTGCTACTATTGTCCCTGTTGCTGCAAACAGACCTCTGGCCTACTTGCATAAAGGTCGATCGCTGCTACGTCAATTGCTTGCGCAGGCCGTGGACAAGATAAGGTCAGCGTCGGATGGGGGCATGTATAGGAAGTCCAACTACTTGGTGGACGCGTTCCTGGGAGCGGATGCTGATTGCGATGGAAAAGTAGACTACATGGAATTTGTGGCGGCGACCATCAACCTGAGGCAGAGATCTTTCCAAAACCCCTCCAAAGTGAAGCGGAAGGTCAGGGAGGCCTTCGATGCCATTGACACTAACGAAGATGGCTACATCGATGCCGAGGAACTAGAAGTGGTGCGAGGGTGCAACTAATATCTCGCGAGGGCATGGCAATGGGTAAAAGTAGCGTGCATCGCACCGCTTGGCGGAAACGCTCCATATCGGGAATTGGCTGGAACCAAGATTTTGGGATCCTTTTCACTTCAAAACGGATTAGCATATAAAATCGAATATTGTTATCTGTTCAAGACGCAACGATTTAGACAATACTGAAATTGATGGCGTGGATCTTGCGCCTGGTAACACCTGGATTTGCAAACTGCAATTTGCGGGAAGTAATTCCAGGAACTCTATTTGAGACCTTAGTAAGAGGTCCATTGGTAATGTCAGAACCTTTACTTACAAGAACAACAACATTGATACTGATAAGAATAGATCAAAAGGAGCCCGATGTCAGAAGCACCATATATGGGCGATAGTGGCAAATGATGGAAGTTTGCTTAATGCATTGTAAACGTTTGTGTCGAGAATGAAACTTGCATATCCTACAGATACACACCAATGATTGCAATGACTGAGGATAGACGCTCCCATATCTTGGATACGGGCCCCCATATCTTGGATATGGAGCATCCCTATACAGAAGATGGCGCCCGTATCTTTTCCGATTTCATAGATGTTGGGAATCCACAGCATAGTATATACCATAATATATACCCGGAATATGGGCCTGTCTACTGATGCAACCTTGTGCAAAGGAGGTAATTTTCAGTTGTCCTTCAAATTCAATAAATTCGATTTAATTGGGCGCTTCATTCTATCCGCCATGTCCGTTATACCTGATATACCATTTCGAGCGAAACGGTTGGAAACTTGGGGATGGTTGCAATTCGATGTTGAGTCGCTGCCTTGCAGGCCGTTGGCGAGGGCGGAAGAGGTGTCATAGAAGAAGCAGACAAAAATGGAGACGGGCTGATGAGCTTTAGAGAATTTTACGATGCAATTAGGAAGTGAAAATGAGGATCATGAGATCCAGAACAGCGGCGGCGATGAGGTGGAATTGCATGAATACGAGAAGTTCCATGGCAGATTTTGTGTTTTACTAACATGCTCGATGTTGGCGCTGTGTTGTATTCAACATGACAGAATACTGAAAGGTGTTCATGCCGAATACGTTTCGAACGTTAGCATGATTGCGCTGCTATTGAGATCATCGGCACTAGTTGCCTCAAGGGTACTGCATCCTTTTCCCAAGCGTATGCTTTGGGTCTTCCCTCTAGTTGCTGGAAGCTGCGCAAATCGTTTAAAGCCCATGGCTTTGCCGTCTTCAACAACTGCGGTTCCTAACACGTGCCCATTTTTTAAATGCGCTGTCTTCAGTAGGTGGGAAATCAATTTACATGTTCCCATTGGCGAAGGGTGTGCTTGTACAGTCTGTGAGTCAGGACCCCAAAAGTTGAATGATTGGAAACAAATCTATGTGTTTTTTTGTGGCGAAAATTGTCCATCAAGACATGTCTTTACTAACATGGACACATGGACATGTCCATGTCCACTGGCAGAACGGGATATAGACCATGTGCATGCATGCATGCTGCGTACCACGCAATTGGGTCCCGTTGGCCACAGGTTGCACGACGTGTTGTTATTGTTAGCACGTGATGTAAATCTTTGGCTTGCCTTGAAATGGTGGGACAAGTACCGGGACAAGTACGCCATCGGTACATGGTAGATACAGTAGAAAGAACAGGTCGTTGCTGGGCGCCGGCCGCTACTTTGGGTACCACACACTGATGATGACGGAAGATGACGGAGACGGGCTAGGATCGTGCCGTTGGCCGTTAGGTTTAGGCGTTTGGGCGTCAGTGCTCTGGCTATCCATGCACAGGGTGTCCGTATGCGCGATCCGTATGTCGTGGGTCAGATGCGTTCAGATGGGTCAGTGCTTGTTGCTCTGATGCGTTGTTTTCTGGGAAACGAGTTGTGGCGAGGGAAATGGGAAATGGACACATCGTGGATTCGAGTCAGACGCACCGTGCTGGAGTTGGAACGGACAGGTACAGTGAATCTGTCGTTGGGCGTTCATGTGGCCGACGCCCCTTCCCCGTGCGCCTTCGTCGTCAGGCTCGCAGCCCTTCGGTCTGGCGTCTCGAACAGGTTCCGGTGGCAGATATGAGCGGGGCAAGCAACCGAGGTCCGCGAAAGGGACGCGGACGGCGCGGCAGGGGCCCGGAGGTATGGCGCGACGGTTGGATGAATGGAAAGCGGACAGATTTTCTACCTGTCCCCCAAACCCCCACTCCACCCCATCACCCGCCCATCGACCCACGTGGGGTACAAGTGCCAAAACAGACGTCGACTGGGTAGAAGAGGATTGGATGGGTCTGCCCTTGCTGTGGCTGTCCGCCAAATTTGGACATCCCCACGCAACGAGGGCCCACATCCGCCCAAGATCCCGCAAGCCAGTTTCATTCATCCACGTAGAAAAGTAGCGCGGCGAAAGCATCACAATGTCTGACGTGTTCCAAGCCGGGTTGGAACCCATCCTGGCTGCGATCTGTACACGGTCCGACTGCCGGACTTGCCTGATTTCTCCAGCACGTGTGGCATTGCAATGGCTCTGTCTTGTGAACATGACATCTGAACAGCAGAATCTTCAATGCAGTCGCCTGGATCGCACATGGGGCTGTCTCCTACAAGCTCTGGGAGCTCGAGCAGGTCAGGGACTTCTCGACATGGGCAGGAGTCAAGAGGCCGTAAGGGTCCAGCCTGCACTAAGGGAATTTTGAAACTGATGGAGGGACTGAAGTGTGGAACGGACCATTCTATCCAAGAGATTTCATTGCCATGCAAGAGCCGGTGGGAAGCTGACGAGATAGGAGACGTGGCGAGGGGCATGGACCTGCACAGGTGCAAATCCGATTATTGCTGTGAAGTTTCACTTGTATGTGTCAGCGTAGTCTTTGCCACATGTTCCCGAGGTCCAGGGAACTGACAGCAAATACGCGTGGCTACAAGCGAATCCTACTCATCTACCCATAGTCTAGCATGCTTCAGACGCCGCCATGCCCCCTTTCAACCTCTCCCTTTCAGCACGAAAAATATTCACCAACTTATGTTCTCCCGTACATAAATGTAGGGTGCTGTTTTGTTCTGTTTCGTCATCATTGTTTTTGTAAAAGGGTGGCGCCATACAACCTTTGCACTTAAGACGATCTCAAGCATGTGTCCACGAAGAATTTTCTACGATGCAGCGTACTCAAACACCAATATCCAAACCAGGTCCATTGCAAACTGGAATTGCAGCACGAATTTTAAGTTGTCTTTTGAAATATTCACAACATCAGAACTGCTGCCAGCCAATGAACATGGCATCGATGTCATTCCCCAATAAATCTGGTAAATTCAATGTGTCGATTACAGAATTGTCCACAAGCTGTCGAAAATACAACCATGCAATAGGCAGTGGTTCATGCAACACGCCTAGAGATTCTTTATGTGTGCTGGGCACCCTTGTATAGGGCCAGGAAGTCGTGCCCTTCAATAATTGTGGCTGAGTGGCAATGCCAGCTCCACACTAATAGTGCTGCAGAGTCAACAGGAAGGCCACACTCAGAATGGTGTCTTGGCAGGTGCAGCAAGACTCTGGTCCTGAATCATGTGGATTTGAAGTACTGCCACGTTTGTTGCCTTTATCTGCTCTTTGCAACATTGGAGGGCATTGCATTTGCTCGCAATGGGTAGCTTGCTTGGTCTTCAGGAAATTGTAACATGTATGCAATACAATTACCACCTCCCATGCAAAAGGGGGATGCTGATTGCAAACAGGGAAGCAAAAGTTCTTAATAACATGGAGAAGAAACTTTAAGATGGCTGCTCAATGCTTGTGGTCTTAAGGAAGCTCAGGAACCAAAAGTATCCTCGATTTCATTGTGGGTGTGTGCGCCATGGTTTACTAATTATGGGAGAGGGCTGAGAGGAGTTTCTCTGTTCCTATTCTGAGATTGCCTGAATGCAATTAGTTAGCAATTACTTGCAGGAGTGCAATAAGCAAGGAAATGCAAATGCAAGCAGCCAGCTGGGTCTGGGGTGTGTGTGCACTGTAGCCTATCCAATTTTGCTGTGAGCAAGTGCTGAAATACAGATCCTGATTGCATCTTCCTGGAACTGCGGCCAGGGGATTGTCAATGAACAGTGCCTGCTTTTTCAAGGCTGGGTATTTTTCCTATGTGCTGGTACTGTCAACCTGTTCCATCCCTCTCACCTCAGCCTTGTCAAAAAGCATCACTTGTTGGGCTGTCAGTATCCTGGAACAGCAGGTTTGGTTCGGCCTGGCCCCTCCTTGTCTTTGGACCTACATTACTGCTGTTAAGACAGCCAACTGCTTTTGTGGTTTACCTGCTCACTTTGGTTCCGTGGAGAGATTTTCAGGCAGGATCGAGGTTCTCCATTGTACCTGTGTTGTACGGATGCTATGTGTATTGCTCAGAAAAATTGCGGTTGGTGTGTCCCACACAGATGGGTTGCAATGTGGTGCAGTATGTTTTGGAACATTGCATGCCAAGTTGAAGGGTCACAATGCCAAAAACATGCTCATGCACCGATGGATGCAAGAAGCATTATATCACAACACAATTAGCTCATCCTGCTGTTGTGTTGGTGGGTTTCCGTGTAGTCCTGTGTTGGCCTGTGCCTGAAACAATGTTGCACGATTTTGCATTAAATGCATTCACACAACATACAAATCATTGCACTTATGACTGTTGCACGATAATGGTAAAGATTGAATATTGGGATGGTCATGTGTGCACAGCTGTGCGTACGGCTCTGGTAGCAAGCATACTGTGGTCATCAGCAAGGTGCCACTGCCAAGGTACCGTTCAGAGTTTGATGCAGGGTCCACTGACAGCTGCATTGGAATGAGCAACGAGACAAGACAGCAAGTTCATGAGATGCTCAGCACAATGGAGCCGGTGGAGCCAGTGGAGCCAGTGAAGCCATCTCTTCAAGGGGCCATGCAGGATGTCCAGTACATCAGCAGTGCCCCAATGCATGTGGGCCCCTCTCAGAGTGAGTGTATTATAGTGCACAGATGCAAAAAACTGCAGCACAGGCCATCAAAGCTGTGAATCAATGTGGAGAGGTAATTGGGTATGTTGCGATGTACTTTACAAGGATTTATGCTGCATTTCTTGTTTCAGGAGAGTTGCAAGGGGCATTTTATCAGGTTGAGAGAGTGTCCTATTCTAGCTAACAGCAGTGCAGGCCAAATATACCTCATGCATGGACAGTGGGAAGTATGCTATGTTGATCACAATTCGCAGACTTGTCAAAGATAATATTCTCGCAACAGGTGTAGTGTTTTCAACCGCTGTCTGTATGATGTGCTGCTGGAAGATTGGTGGCTTGCCTGACTACTTGTGTTTGCATCATGCACGCAGGATCATTTCACGGAAGCATCTCTTCACGCCGAGGCTTAGATCGGGGTGGGCGTGTGGTTCATCTTGCTCTGATGAATCTACGAGATATGAACTTTTTGCCATCGGTGATGTTATCAGACACAAAAGACAGAATACACCCAGGGACAACAAAGACTTCTGCAAGGTGGCCAACACCCAGCAGCAACCTCTGTTTGGCCAGGCTGGGCTCAGAACTGTCGTCCAGTGCATTAGGACCTTGTGCACATCACATTGTAGCCTTGTACCCACTGGTGTGTTGTCATGTTTAGTGTTTAGGAAATTCAGACAGGCACTTACAGGCACTGGATATGTGGTCCTTATGCAGAGAGGGGCCAAAGCACCGACTTTGCGTGGCACAGCCCAGAAGAGTTTGGTTGCCATTGCTCACCATTCTGTGCCTGACAGCCACATATCCAGTGTGTGCTCTCCTCAAGCTAATGGTCAAGATTTTCCAAACGCTGTCAAGGGGAGTTGTGTTGTCTTCGAGGGGTTTCGTGAATAGCGGTGCTTCCAATTTAAACAGAGCTGCCCTCAAATTGTCGATATTGGCCCACCAGGTGAAGATTTTGTAGAAAGTGCAAGGCTGAGGAAGAAACAGCGTGAGCTGCACAAGCGAAAAGGTGTGCAGAAACTGATGGAAGCCCGTCGAAAGCTCCCAGCCTTTGGAATGAGGGATGAACTCATGCAGCGCATTGACACTCATCAGGTAAATGTTGCCTTTGATTTGGTGGGCCAGGATTCCATTTGTTATGCATCGACACTGTGTACATGCTCAAATAATGTATACTTTGGTGTGTCCTGCACCATTGAGAACATATTTTCCATAATGTGTACAATCCGAAAGAATCTCTTGGTTCCTGGGGCCCTGAGTGTAGTGGAGTACATGGCTTGCGATGGCTCAACACCCTTGACTGTAACGCCAGGCTGTCTGCTTAAGTTGAGCTCTGTCAGTTTTCATACTCTTGTTTGATTTGCAAGATCGTCAAGCAGTCGAATGCGTAAGACTCACCATTCACAATCATCACTACTAATACGTGGCACCCAGCATGCTGTGAAAACAGAATGGATGTTAATTGCACAAAAGTCTTATACATAGATGCAGTCTGGCACAGTCTTCCAGTTGGAAGGACAAAGTTTTGTCACTTTCCAACTGGTGTAGTGAAATGACACTTGAAACATGCTACAGTTGCCGTAATGGTGCTGTCCTTGTTGCCATAGGAAAGGTTGTGGTAGCTGCAGGTGTCTTGTCATAGCGTGTCAAAGTCAGTGCTCAACTCAAGAAGAACTGTGGAGCGGAGGCTCTGGTTCATTGAACAACAATAGTGTCGAAAGATTGACCTACTGCATGATCTCCTTGTGGTTATTGTATGAGTGCAGCGCAAATGCATGCCAACACATAAGCTCTGCACTCCCTGCATTAAACTTGGCTGATTTGGAGTAACATTGTGCACTTGGCAATCTTGCAAGGTGTTGATTGTCAGCGGAGACACGGGCTGTGGCAAGACTACCCAAATCCCACAGTTGATTCTTGAGCATCAGATTGAGAATGGCTGTGGCTCGCTTTGCAACATTATATGCACACAGCCCCGGCGTATCTCAGCAGTGTCGATCGCCAACAGGGTGTCCCAGGAATATGGCGAAGATGTGGGCAGGACAGTGGGATATCAGATTCGCATGGAAGCAAGAAGATCAGAAGACACGAGGCTCCTTTTCTGCACCACAGGCGCGTGCGTTCAGTGCCACTCGTCCACCACAGAACAAGATGCACATTTCTCACTCATTGCCATTTTCACAAGGACTGTCAGATGGAGAGGGAAATCCACTGGGTGTATGCTGCAAATGGAAATGGATCCTGTTGTCCCAAACTCCCCATGCCACCACAGGTGGAAATCGCAGTATTTTTCTTTCTGCCCAGGCTGTACACCTTGATGCTCAGACTGGTGTGATCACAGAATGGTGATAAGTGTTGCAATATCATCTATGACCATATTGCAACATTTTGGCATATCACACCTGTGCTTCAATCCAAACTGGAGCCTGTTGCTTGTGGTGGCCTGTGCCATAACCATTCCATTCCATCAAATTTTGAACTGGAACCTACGTGATGTAATTGCTGTCTACAGGGGTGCTTATTCGTCGCATGATCCAGGATCCAATGCTCTCTGATGTCAGCCATGTGGTTGTGGACGAAGTCCATGAGCGTGGGATTAATGAGGATGCCCTCCTGATTGTGGTCAAAGACTTGCTGCAGAAGCGACGCGACGTCAAAGTTATTCTGATGAGTGCCACCATGCCCATCGGCTTTTGCCAATACTTCTGGAACTGCCCTCACATACACATCCCGGGAAAGTCATTCCCAGTTGCAAGGTACTTCCTGGAAGACACTTTACAGTTGACAGGTAGGCAGTGCAGGCCGATTGCAGAGTCGCCAGCCGGTCTATGCACTGGAATTTTGACTTTAAGGTGTGCTAAACACTGGCATTCCTGTCCCAGGCCAACACTGTGAGGCTATTCGCTTCTCTGTAGTGATTATGCCAATTCTTTGAGGGCACGAATAAAAGTCTGCCAGGGTTTCTTTGGTAAACAAACGGAATATGAGTCCAATGGCCCTCTTGCGATGCAAACAGAGCCCTCCTTTTGTGTTGTGGACAATGTGGCAAGGCAGGCACAAGGAATGTAGTCCAATGTTGTTACAAACTTGACCAAGCTTGATACTTACTTTTCCACCGTGTTGAGGGCACTATAGCTGGGAGCTCCGGGATATGCAAGGGCAAAACAGGAAGATGGCTATGTTCGAATAGAATAGTGTGTCCAGTGAGAAGGCGAATGCCCCAGCAGAATCAGGAGCATGTGCGAAACGCTCAAAAAGGAATGGCAAAGGTGCCCACCACACTGCAGGAACTCAAAATAGAGAGGAGAGAAGATGGCTGCAGTGACAGGGAATGTGATGTTGCTAAAACATCGCCAAAGGCTCGAAGATTGAGTTCCTGTGTCTCTAGCCGTGCACACACCCATTGAGACCCAGGTGTTTATTGTAATGATAGCCCTGTGGGTCTTGCACATGGGATGAATGCGCGGATTCTCACACTCAAGGTTCCAATGCTGTGGGTGTGCTTTCAGGGATCACTTACTTCAGCAGCCAGAGGGGACCTCCCCAACCTTGCAATTCTGCAGCATTGTTGCTGGGATGGAAGCCAGAGGAGCAAGACACTGCTGGAAAGGACCCTCATGTGTTGGCCTCTCTGGAAAGCTGGGCTGGCGATGCAAAGCAAAATGTAAGGTCAATGGGTTGGCAGGACGCCTGCAAAGACATCAGTTTCTTTTGCAGTTTCCCATGCTTGCCATGCTAACAAAGTTATATGCTAACAATCTGATTTTCGGATGAGATATTGCAGCATGGAAGATGTTAATATTCCCGCATCCAGGTACTCGCAAATTCTCAGTTTGTTGCTGTTTTGCTGTGGTCACAGCCCTGACTGCCTGCCTTGGTTGAGGGATGTGCTGAGTTTATCAACACTGTTTAAAGGATGCCTCTACACTGGAAATGTGTTGCTGCATAGATTGTGCCAGCCTTTTGCGTGGGCTAATCTTATTGTGGAGGAGACAATCTCAGTTGCGGTGAAGTAATTGTCCTTCTGTTGCAGATCATGCGCTTGTTTTGGCCTGACAGATGTGTGCATGTGCTTTCCCAGACGAATGCTATCTTCATTGCAGAACTTGTGCGTTGGATCATCACAAAGCATCCTGAGGGATCCATCCTAATTTTCGTCCCAGGATTTGCAGACATCCAAGCTGTTTCAAAGCACATTGAAAGGCACCCAGTCATTCAAGGCAAGTGCAGACCCTGGGTTCTCCCTCTGCACAGTCAGCTACCACCTGCCAGCCAAAAGCATGTGTTTGATCCTGCCCCTGCTGGTGCTCGGAAGATTATCGTGGCAACAAGCATTGCTGAAACCAGCATCACCATAGAGGATGTTGTTTTTGTCATCGACTCGGGGAAGTCGAATCAGGTGTCTTACGACACCATCAACAAGTTGGAGTGCATGAATCCAGCGTGGATCTGCCGTGCATCGGCCAAGCAGCGATGTGGACGGGCTGGGCGAGTGCAGGTAAAACGTTATGGCTTCTGGATATTGCTTGCTGCTCCATAAGAATTGCTGAGTGAGCGTCGCGCATGGATCGACTTTGACAAGAGAGTTGGGCCTTCAAAGTTTGGACTAAGGCCTGGCTGTGTTGTACAATGGTAGTCATAGTTGTGTTTATTCACTGGAATGCGTGTGTGCTGTCTATTGCAGCACTGGCTGCAACACGGAAACCAGCAGCAGACTGTTTGCAATAGCCAGCGGGGTGATTCTGAATTTAGCTTGGACAATTAATGTGCCAAATGAGCAACTTCAGGTACATCTGCAGGTGACTTGCGCTGGGGTTTGAAAACAGTGGTGCTGGGCCTGGTTAGCAAATCACCGTGTGCCTGATGTAGCAGCATGGCTGATAGTTCCTCTTGTGCAGCCTATGGGTGAATTTTAACCTGCATTGCTATTGGGGCCAACTAGAGCATCTTCACTGTTGCGTTTGCATTACTGGGTGGCCATGGCAAGGCCCGCGGTACCTGTGGT